TACGTCCATGTATGACTGAAAAATTGTACTGAACACTGGAATTTGACACAACACTGTAAAATGATTATGAATCAATAAAAATGTAAAAAAAAAATTGTGAACATAAACAGGTAAGATATTTGAATTAATTTTCTTTAAATTACTGTGACTAACTATGATACTACGCCTCAGCACTGGGTCACTAATGACTTATGTATACATTATCACCAGCAGAAAAAGGGATGCGTCTACTCACAATGTAACAGGGGCAATGAGTCGGGAAAACTTATTTCAGAAATGGTCCGCTCACAGAAAGAGCAAATCACACAAGGGAGTTAGGAGAAAACAGTATTTATAGAACTACAGAACTGTAGAATTTGGCCCTTTCAAGTCGTCAAATATTTAAGAAAAATAAGAGTTAATATGAAGTGACTAAAGGTCCTAAGGGCCACAGCAACAAATACAACCCTTCCCTAGAGACATAATCTAAGAGTAAACCAAGCATCTGGATCATCTTTATTACCCCAAAATGAATGGATATATCCAACAAAACATTCTAATTAGTGTCTGATTCAGTTTTTAAAGATCTAATGTAAGTTAACATAGCTTTATACAGTAAGATGCTATTTTATCCCACTATTTCCCAAGTCCCAAACACTTTTGCCCTACATATTGTTTTCCGATACATACTTGACACTAAATATGTACTTCTTGTTCAGGAAAGTAATGTTCAAACACTCAGATGCAGAAAGCAGGCATCTTTCAATCATCTGAATGCATTCAATAAAGCATGAAAAAAGTTTTTAAATTGATTAAAAATTCATTTAAAAAAGTTGTCTGTTAATCTCGATTCTTTCTGATGTCAAAAAAATTTTTTCTTGAGATTAGAGTGCTGAATACCAGCGTCCTTCCACATGCTCATAAATTTTTTAAAACATCCTTATACATGGCTTTGAAAAATCTGTTGTTATAAACATTACCCACATCTTACATGAAAAAATAAATCACAGGTTAAAAAAATCTGCATAAATCACAGTGGTCTAACTTTGACCCTCCAGGAGACTTCCATACAAATCTTTCATTCTTTCGGTCTGAAACCCATGAGGGAAGTTATCCAGGCCAAATGATACCAACTATCAAATCAAAAAGTTTTTAAATGAATTCTACTTACAGCTGCACGTCGGACATAAACTGGATGAGACAGGTGCACATTATTAAGCAGAAATAGGATAGAATCCAATGTGTAGTACTCTCTGGGTTGGCCTTCCTTTCCAGTCCTGAAATAATTAAGACAAGATTTTTACTCACAATTCTAATACAACTCCTTGGGCTTAATTATACGGATTAATTCACCTACACCCCCTTCACTATCCAACAACAAACTTATTAACATGACTAACAAAAACACACACAGAGTATGACATCTAATAAGTGAAACTGTCATTAAGGCAAAAGGAACACAAAGGTAGACAATGACAAAAAGTAAGAAGTAAAGAGACCACACCATATTCATACCTTGTTAATACAGACTTTTTAGACTATGGCCCCAGTTAGATTCTGGGCTTTGTCAGTAGAGAAAGAAACCTCATCAGTTACAGACTAGAGAGGATTCATGAGAGAAAACAAGGAACCTGATGAGAACCTCACAACTACCACTGGTGCTAAACTTACAAGAAATGCATCCTGCCCCTGAGTAAGACACTGCTTAACTACACCTTGAAGAACATTCTTAAACACGACAATCAATTTCAGAGGTATGATTCTTACACCACCCCTCAAACTAAACCAATGATGTACACCCAAAATGAATTCTACCTGGATAAAACAAAGTAGTCTACAGGTGCAGGCTCTTTAATGCAAGCACGTAACACTACTTGCTCAGCAAATGTTAATGTCCACTCCCAGCCTATGACACTCCTATTACATTCTCCCTGTCTAGAAATACCAACGCCAAATACCAATTATTATTTGAATTCATCTGAATACAGCCCAATATAATCATCTCGAACCCTGGCTCTATTTCCACTTTCCTTCTAGATTGATGTATTTCAAACCACACATCACTTACCAATTACTGTCCTATGAAGTATAACACATAGGTAACAACTTGGTATTTCCTTACAATATAGAAAAGAAAAAAATTGAATCCACTGGTGTAGTGATTAATGCTTAATGTCATGTATGTGTACGCACTTACACATACGTGGAGATTAACACTAAATTAGAATATATTTATTGGTGTGATTCACTGTTGTGAAAGTTTGAAATTTACTATTCTAAGCACCCCCTTTCTCACTCCTGGCTTCACCGAATGGCTGCCAGAGCATTTCCTTTCCAGCTCTCATGCCTTTAAGCACAGTTTCCTCATCCTGGAAGCCCTAACCCACCACCACTTCACCCCTAGACTTTCTGTCCATCCTTTAAAGCTTTTCCATTTATTTGCTCGTTCATTTATTCAAGAAAAGCCTGCAGCCTGTCTACGTGCCAAACTCACTTCTATGAAATCTTTCTTAACACCCTCAGCTAGAAGTGATTGCTCTCAAGAGCTGGAATTCGATTCTTATCAAGTTATGTTTTAGCTCCTCTCCTCTGACTGAGTTAACCTCCTTCCAAGCCACGACTGGGGTCCTAAGAATTATTTTCTAGTTCTCAGAACGGACAGCCCTACACCGTAAGAACTCAACCATCTTTAAAGAAAAAACAATCAGTTAAAAATCCATTGAGCCCCTAGCTCTCGTGAGTGGGGCAGAGGAGGACTCCTAGCCTATTCTGGTTTGGCATGCCCCATTCAAACAGATTTTTCCTCAAAGAAACTCCCAAAGAAATTTTTTTAATCCAATCAAATGTAATTCTGCCTGTGCAAATTCCTTCTGGAAGGACAAAGCCCAGGAAACATGCTTTATCCATCAACATTTCATAAAGCTAATTAAGTCATAAGCCCTGGAACCCAAAAAAACTAAAAGGCAACTAACTAAATTTCCCCTCGCTTTTCAACATTTTTTCGTAAAGCTCCAGCTCCCATTCAAGCGAACAAAATGCGTATGAAAGTTCTGGCCCAGGGTTCTAACTATCCAATGAAACGCCAATAAGAGAGACATCACTCAAAAGATCCCCAACGATTAAACTTCTCTGTAGATGTTTTCCTTAAGGACTTCAATTCAGGAAAACCCACCACCTGGATCAACATTCCAAAATACACTCTCTTTAGAGCACATTTCCCAAAATCGCACACTCCATCAATTTCTCACTTAGATCTGCAAAGTTTACTCCATTCCCCTCGGCAACTTTCTCCCCGAGGAAACTCCTACCTTCACCTTTAACACAGACTCTGATTACCCTTCCAAAGTAAATCTCTTTCCCGTCCTAATTTCTAGTTCCCTTCTCTCTTCCTGAGGGAATCGGGAAAGGAGAAGAAACAGACCAGGAGCTGCAAAGGCCAGCAGACAATCTCGGAAAGACACAGAGAAGAACTGAAGAACAAAAAGAGACGTCTCGGGGCCGGACGGTGTGCTCCTTTATGCACCTATGCACACTGCTAGCACTCGACAGAGACGGGCAAAAGCCAGCTGGAAGAGTCACAACTCCCAAGGCACCTTGCCTTTAGGCTTCCCAAAGACTTGGGGGGACGGACCCCTCCAGACGGGGCCCCTCCCGTCCCCTCCTCACCTGCAAGTGCAACTTCTGCTCCCGAGAGAAACTTTCCCCCGGAGCACCCGTTTCTCTCCATCCCCAAGGGAAACGGGGGGGAGGGGCCAGGAGGGGCCCGGGGCGCCCGGCTCTGCCCCACCGCCCCAGGCCGCGGCCGCGCAGGACTCACCCCCAAACCACATAGTTGGTCTTCACGTTCTTGGGCCAGGAGAACTCGCCGAAGATCACTTCGTCCCCCTTCACCACAATCTCCTTCTTCTGGATGTTGTACTGTCGCAGGACGCTGAGCACGTCCGCCATCTTCG